AAAGATACATTTCTTGAACAATTGGCGTTTCTGGTTCATGAATCACAGCATCATATTTTATGACGACTTTATTTTTGTATAATACACTGTAGTTCTGTATTATACATACATGCTATTTTCACTTTGCTGCTTACCAAGAGAAATGCATGGCATTCTTTCTGCAGTGCCACAATTGCAAATCCTTAGAGTAATATGTGGAAGAGTATACTTTTCCCAGGAAAAGAAAAAAAGCACAGAGAAATATGAAACAAAAACAACAAAATAAAGCAAAAAAACCCCAACAAAATCTACACAGAGACAAAAGAGCAACATTAGTGTTAATATGTAGAAAAGCATCAAATATTTCCTGCAAAAAAGTGGTTTGTTTTCAGATTCACATGTAAATGCTTGCAGGATATAGATTGGCACAGTGCCATTTAATTTCATAGAACCATGGAAAGATAAATATGTTTAATCCTGCTAAGATTCCAACCTTTTCTACTTCTTGCAACAAATAAAAATTATTATAAACAAGCTGCTCTCAAAGTTTCCATTACTGTCAAGTTGTTCAGTGTTCTCCAGACAAGAAAGAAATGCAGGTAAGAGATCTAAGGTTCTTAAAACACCATCAGTGGAGATTGATGGAAGCAACATCAGAAGATAGTGCAACTAATGGTAATATTTAAAGGGAACAGTCAGATAGAAAGATATGTTTTAGAGGACCGCAATGGACAACACAACAGAACATGACTCTTATCTGAAATACCGTAACAAAACTTGTGGAAAAGTCAACAAAGTCAGTGACTGACAGAAAGTAAAATCACGGCATCTCTAGAATTATCTTATCTAAGAATATAAGCAGAATATGACACAAAATGCTATGTATTGGAAGAGTTGTAAATGATTACACTTTTTCTTTGCCATTTTCATTATTAAAATTAAATTAATTTTACAGAGAAAATGCATTGTGACTTGGAAGAAGTAGAAATTAATTATCTAGCAAAGATATTTTACTATTTAATTGTTGTAATCTGTTTGACACCTGCATTATCTGTCAATGTTCCTATCAAACAAAATTCCCTTTGGGGCTACCAATATTTTTATCTCTCTTGGGCTGAACAGCTGATGAAAATTTGAGAAAGTGAGGTAACTCTGGACCTTGATAATACATTGTCTACTTCAGGCGGAATTTTCAAGGATCTTTTATAATAGTTATATTCATGAACAGAGAAACAGCAAAATAGAAGTCATATGTAGCAGTGATTCTACTGAGTATTTGGGGACTACACACTGAATGAGGCAGGTTTTGTTCAGCAAGTACCCACCTCCATCCTCCCTTCTCTCACTCTCCCAATGGTCAAGTGAAAAGATGGACTGCCTCGCAAACTAGAATGCCACTTATATCTACCTTGTACATGTTCTTCACTCAATAAAACAAGACCAGGCAAAATGCAGTGCCACACAGCGTCAGACCTAAGATATCTGACACAATAGAAGTGATTCTTGTCCATGATCACTTTTAATTAATTTTGCGTCTATTATGTCTGAGTTAATTTCTCCTACATAGGAGTAGCTAGCTTTGTCAAATCTTTGCATATTAAATAGTTTGATATTATTTGTTCCTGAAAAGCATCACTGGGCTTTCCTTAATTGCTTTTCTTTACACTGTTGTGTTTTTTTTCTGTAAGATTCAGCTTTTTCTTTCAAAAATATTCTATTTTGAAAGCCAGAGGACTTGGCATTTTCTAATCACTGACATCTAAATATATTTTCTGTTACTGTATGATCACAAATTAACAGTCTTACTCTGACTTCTCAATCCCAACATAGTCAAACTAAAAATTTAGCTAGTTTCTACTGTTTCTTAACATTACCTTATCAGACAATGTGCCCTTGTGCTTTGTCTTCGTTTTCACACTTCATTTCACATCCTTTTGATAACTCCTAGAGCAAACACACAGGCCAGACAGGAAAGATTAACCCTTCAGTCCCAAAGGTAAAAGAGACTTTGTTCAGATTAGCAAAGAAAAATATTAGTAGTCAGGGAAACTGAGGGTACTATTGTTTGAATAGATGAAAATTCAGAATAGAAGAGATGAAGTATGCACACAAGACAAATGTTACATAACCAGTACACATTTTCTGCAAACTCTGCAATGGAACATAGAATTGCCTTTACATAGAACTCCATAGTTTATGCAGGGAATCTATACACCTGCAAATTGTTTAATGTGCTAGGATTAGTGCCAGTAAAAGAAATACAGAAGAACCTACCATCTAATATGGCTTGTCTGGAGGACAGACAAGATGACAGAGGCTGGTTTCTCTGCTTTATGGTCTGACTTGACTTCGAGAATTGTCAGGAAGACTAAGACATCCAGAAAAATTATTCTGCATGAACTATATTTAGCATCTCCTTCTTTCCATGAATAAGTCCTCAGGCTGTGCACTTTGTACTTCACAATCTTGTTGCATCTGTTCAGATCTGTTTCCTGGAGCATGGAAAGAGGCCAATTTTTGAAGGGAAATTACAAGATGGAGGTACTTATGACTGTTATTCAGTCTCTTAATTGATGAGTTCCCCTGAAGGGCAGGTTAGGTGATCCACGTGAACCTGGGAATCAGTTTCAAAATAAATGAGGTCCTAGAATTTGATGGGGGAACAACTGATGCTTGTTGAGTTGGGAAGAAAGTAAAACCCATATGTGGAAAATAATCTTAGTGGCAGTAATCACCTATGGCCACATTTACACTAAGAAAAGCACTATATAAAGCATCAGCAAAAAAAAAAATCAGAATACCTTGCAGGCAACAAGATGTTATTCAGGTGGAATTTCAGAATTGGTAGTGGAAGCATAAAAAACAAAGTTCCCAATGTTTTTAGTAAAACAGCTATCGTTTTGAATGTGCATGCATATAGTGGGAGATCATTGAAAGCAAATAATGTGAGGGCAGGGGAAAGCCTTCCATATAAGAACTTACTAATTTTTTTTTATATTGCATTTCTTCATTTCACAAACTGCAGACAAACATAGAAGTAGTTGGAGATGTGAAGTGTACAAAATTTGATTTTCTTTGAAAACCTAGAAGTAACTGAACATGTTTAGAAATCCAGTGAAGTGGGAGCTAGAATCATTCCTCTCAAAGCTTTTACAACTAGAATCTGATTTATAGTTCTGTAGTGCCAAAAGAAAAAAAGCCTAAGAATTGATCCAGATGTTTTTCAGTCACAGAACAGAGACAGGTGGTCCCTGTCCAAAGAGATAAAACATCAACAGGGACATTTGGCATGGAATAATGAGCAAAATGCAAGAATAAATGAAAATAAGAATGTAAACAGTAGTGGTAGCAAACAACACATAACTCCCACCATTGTTAAGGCTAGATAAATGGTAGGAAAAAAAAAAGAAATCTAACAGAAACAAAAAGAAAAGAACACATGTAGTTGTAACAAAGTGAAGAAGGAAAGAAATCAAAGCAGAGCTTTCAGCTCATATATGAACCTTACTTTCCTCTAAAGCCTACTGAAACTGAACTCCTTACTGTGAGTCTCCCCTGTATAATTCTAGTTTTTGACCGGAGGTGAGCTCAGTTCACCCTCTTTCACAGTGCAACATTAACTAGCTATTCTAACTATTTCATCTGGATTTTTAGCCTGCCCCCTTTTGTTTTCATGTATATATATCAATTTTACATAAAGGCTTCCATAATAAGCTAATTAAAATTTTTTTGAATACCACATAGAGCAGGCTTCCATTGAGACTTCCCTTTAATTTAAATTTACATATTTTTCCATGGATATAAAGTTAGATTTGGCTATACTAAAGCACAGTTTGCTTGCATTGTGTGAGTCAAGCTTTTTTTTTTTTTAATCATTCACTCAATTTTTTTTTGTCACCTGCCAACTTTGTTTTCTTCAACTAAAAATGCTAAACAGAATGAGAATGGGAATCAATCTTTGTGAGACCCAATTAGAGCTGACCTCCTCTCAGTGAGGACTATCATTGTGTTTTGACTGCTGGTTTGTCAGTTTCAACATAGTCAATGCTCACCATATTAAGTTTGTATCATTCTGTATTCTCAATCAAAACATCATGCAGAAACAAGTCAAATGCCCTGCAAGTAATCAAAATCTTATGAGGGTGATGGATAGGGAGTAAGTGTTTTCCAAAACAGTTTCAGTAGATTATCCTTAACAATTTTACCTGCCACTAACTTTTTTTAAGAGTCAAGTACCACATCAGCTATTCTATTATTTGTCAAGGATTTACATATGTTTAAAGAAAATTTTGATATGTTTATTTACCCGATTCTAGTATTAATGGAAACTGTCATTTAGCACTACATCTAAATTCTATTCAGAGATAATTCAACAGAAATTTTAAAAAGGCTATCATTTTAATCAAAGAGCAAATGTTATATTTTTCTTTAAAAATATGTATAAAGATATCCCACGTCCATTCAAATCCCACACCATTCAAATGGTGTATTTGGATTAGGAGTCAAAAGACTAAACAGCAAAAACAAAACTGAGTCAGTCAGCCATAAGATGAGAATTATTGCAATAAAAGCAACATTCTGAACAACTTAGCTGAACTATTTTCTCTAGTATCATGTCTGTCTGCTCATATAATGTCCTGTGTTTTCTTCTGTTTTGACCTAGATGAACACATTTTCAAGACATACTTCTATACTATTATGGCTCAAACTATTATTCATCGTTTGATTTGGATGAGGAAGAAATATCTACTGTATTTTCGCAGCCATTATGTGAATAAGATCAAATATCTACTAGATATTTGCAGTCATAATGTGAGCAAGCTTGGTACATTTTACTACCATCAGTTTCTGCCTTTTTTTTTTTTTAAAGCATCTCCAGGTAGAATTTGTCTTCCATTATAGTTGGCCATATACGAGTAAACAGCAAGTGTTGTACCTTCATTCAAGAGGTAACAGTTTACTACACACATTTGTTTTCCATCTCACAAAAAAAAACCAGAATGTAGTTATTAATAGCAGTTACACAACCCTACTTGTTTATTTGTGCTGCCATTTATTTACAGGCATTTCATTCCACAGATGAAAACAGTTTCAGTTCTGAGCTAGTGAAAAATAAGTTCATGAAGTTATGGTTTCCATGGTTTCATTACAGTGCCTGTAATCTAGTTTCAAAATTGCACTTCTGGGGAACATTTAGAGACAGAAGACACTATTATAAAACACTGTCAGTTATAAATTAAAAGAATGTCACCTTAACTCTACAGTTGTAAAAGCTGACTTTGGAGTTCAGAAAACCAGCAAAGCAGGTATCTTCTACTGCATCGGCATTTCTAACAGTAAATGCAAAGAAAAAATTAGACGATGGGACCACCATTAAACAGGGGAAAAGTTCAGCCAGGATTCTCTTCTTCCACTTCTCTTCATGGCAGCTGTTTCCTAATTTTTCAGAGAATATTAAGGTAAGATTTTAAAAGTGAAGTTTGAAAAATTCCCAAGTGTAAACTACATTGTTTTCCACAATCTTCCTAAAACATAAAATATGGAGGCCACCTTTCTAAAATCTATGGAATTCTCAAAAGAATATATTCAACTCCTAAAATACAAGGACTCTATAAACTGTTTATAAAGCACAGTACAAGAAAGTTGATAAGGCAATCATTACAACACATCTTAGGCTCCTGGTTACCAAATATCAAATGAAATATCTGAAAGAGCTCTACCATAAAACAAACATTTTGACAATACAATCACAAGTAGAATGTATTTTTTCCCCACGGTAGTAAACAGTGGAATAAAGTAAAGAAAGGAAAAGACAAATAATGCTTTTATAATCATATTTTGTGTGTCAAATTTTTCAAAGGAAATCCTGATTTACACAGCTTACAGATTCCCATTCTACATTTAAATACCTATTTAAGAAAAGATGTAAACTCTGAAGGCAGATAAAATAAGCTGAAGTCAAACTTTATTTCTCACAAAATACTTTCCATCTTATACTGTTTGTGAATTAATTGATTCAAGGCTATTCCTTAATATATTCTTTTCTATCCAGATTACTTAAAGAACTACAGCTCAGAATTCTTCACTAGATCATTTTATGTTTAATCTAGACCCAGATTCGTGCCTTGAATAGCTTGAATTTAACAGATTTGCAAGGACTGCTCCAAAACTAACACCTCCTATTTTATTCTGTTGGCCCACAACATAAGCAACAGATGTTGGCTGGATGGCAGTTAGGATTGTACTTTCCCACCAATATTCCATTACATTTTGTTGCTGTGTAACAGATGGCAACATAGGGGCAGTCTGACAGAATGTTATCTGACGTGGAAGAGCATATGAAACAAAGGCATGCCATTGAAGCTGAGATTGAAGTGAGATAAAAATGGCATCTCTGACAGACACTGATACTTGCTGAATGTTTCTGGAGACCAAACAGTGGGTATGAGCACAGTGAGGCTCATTCAGTGAGGGCGGTGCATTCTGACAGTGGAAACAGCAAGTGAAAGACAATTGTTATTCCAGTTGTTCATGCACAACTGTCACACACCACAAAAGGAAGATCATCTCTATCAGCAAATCTGCTGAATCAGCTAACGGTTGTGACTCGTGAAAACATAGAAGAAATTCTCGGTGAGAATAGAATACTATCAAACAGTGTTACTGTGTTTTGTTCCTGTTGTAGTCTCCATGAAAATAAATAGGAAGCATTACTTTTGGAGCAACTTACACACATCTGAATTGATTCAAAGCAATTAAGACTGATTTAAGCCCTTCAAAAGTTCACGGGGGATATTTTCACTGGCAAGGAATAAGTCCAGTCTATGAAATAATTCTGGGAATGAAAGAAGAAATTATTGTCAAGATAAAAATGATATTTACCCTCCAATTATTAATTTCAGATTTTTTGCATAATGCTTGTATCAGTGACATATATTTGACCATACAACCTGTGTATTGTCCTCACTGAAGCTCATGGTGCTACACCTCAAATTAATACCTTTTTCCACCTTACAAATCTTTCATTCAGCAAAATCCCTAATATACATCTGGCTTTAACTATGTGGTTAAAATCACTTCCTCAAGTTTAAAGGCAAAATTGAGGAAATTTAAAATTAATTACTAAAAAGTTATGTGTTTTCTAAACTGGACATCAACGCTGTCTTTGTAGTAGTTAGAATACAAAATGCTTCCAGAGACTGATTAATTTCCTACAAAGATGAATCCTAATACTGGTGGCATTAGCTTGAGCTGCTTGTTTTTCCCATTAATTATTGACTAGACAACAAGATAGGACAAGGTAATTAAAATGCCTTATAAGAAGAAAGTGGGCCCAAATGTCTTCAGTAGGGTTTAAACGATAATTCTAACCTGCTTGCCCTAAAAGTTATGGTAAAACTTCTACAGATTTATGCAGAAGATGAAGCAGGTTAATCACAGCTTGCTGACTCAGAAGTATTGCTAGTTTAAAGCTACGTTTCTTTTCTTTAACAAGTTTTGTTATAATCTCAGTACCATACTCCAACACAAAGTATCACTATCAGAAGTAAAAAAAAAAAAAAAAAAAAATTCTCTGCTCTCCTATTTCTGAGACTTAAATCCATATCGTTTTCAGGAACCATTGGCTGCAGTGATCTCGAGTAGCTAATCTCATTTCTAGTTTTTACCATTTTTCGTGGGTAGCTTGTCCTGCCAGCATTTGAGCTTTCTCTTGTTTTTCAGCAATTGTACTAACAGAAACAAACAATTTTTCCAATTTACTTTATACATTCTTTTTCTCCCATTATTTCTCTGCTGGGTCTCTTCCACCACAATTTTCCTTTACAGAAATACTGCTACCCAGTCTGTTTTGTTTCAGGCTATTACCATGGATAGTAGTACTCAGTATATAATTTTATGCTTGAGGTTCCACCTATCAAGAACTGCTGCATCAACATCTTGTCCTCTGATCATAATGTAATTATCACATTCAGAAATAATGACTTCATCAAGGTCTTCCCATTTTCATTCACGAATAACTTTGGCTACTGTCAGAAGTTAATAAAAGTAGAGAGAATAGAGGCAACATTGTCTGATTGATATAACATTGCTGAGAGTGTGACAGGCTTGCTTTTTTAAAGATGAACATGAAGACAAACCACACATTCACCTGAATCTCAGATGGGACCAGGTGTCCAGAATTAAGATTAACAGAATTTCACAGGATTTTAAAAGCATTTCAGATGTTTGTAATTACCAACTGAAATGTTTTCTGACCTCAAAAAAAACCAACACACATAATGTGAATATACATTAAAAAAAAAATCACAGATTCTCTAGTAGAATAGATAGTTTTATATATCATGAGAGGAAACATATATCATTACTACAGCTAAATAAATCTAGCAATTCATACACTTCGATATTCTCTCACTCTTTTTTTTTTTTTTTTTTTTTTTTACAGTGGTTGGCAAGAAAAGTTATAGAAAAAGGTGGAAGAAAGAATGCAGGGAATAATTATTGAAAGAATTTGAATAGAATTCATAGAGTCAGCTTATGCAATCATGGAGGTGGACCTTAGGCTGTTCCAAATATTTTCCTAGGAAGCAAACCAATAATATTTCTTTATCATAATTAAAAATAACCCAATTTTTCTACATTGTCTTTCAACATGTAATGAATGCTTATATAATATAATAATATATGATTAATATAATATTATATGATTATATAATAATAAATGATATTCCTAATTCTGGACTTCAAAACAAAGAATATATTTTTATTTACTGCATTCAAAATGATATGTACATTATCGTTTCCTTATCATACGTACAATATCTTTAATTCAACAGTTTTGTAGAGCTGTTATTTAATGTTCCCTCTGGTCGTTGAAAAAATGATGAATTAGATCTCTTCATATTATTTTGATGTTGGGAACTCGCTTTTTTAATAGTAGAAAATAAATCTATACAACACTTCTTTCTACTACATCACATATTTCTGTGATTATCTAATCTGTGATTACAGTTATATCTGTGATTACACAGTTATTTCCAGGAAAACAACAATCTACCTGATGTTATAGTTCCTCTTTCTCTATGGAACAAGTCTAGAACCAAGATACTGGTGGACTATTTAGAATTAATGGGGAGATTGATAAAGACCAATATTGAAAACCTGATACTTAGTGAAATTGATAGAGCAGGAACTTTTTTTTTAAATAGAATCCTAGCTGGTATAGTAGTCCTATTATTATCATCAGATTGCCTTCGTCAATAAAAAAATCTTTTTGACAATAAGCTAATTTTTATAAACTTATTTGGCCTGGGACCTTTTTCACACAACTGTAATTCTGACATCTGGTAAGACAGATAATATAATTTATATTCCTTATATCAAGGCTATAATGTAAGATGTAGGAGAAAGAAATATCAGACAAAAACAAAAGCCCAAAGGAACAATAATAACTCAAGGAAAAAGCAAAACCACAAAAATATAAAAAGAAGGCTCATGTTTATTTAATGAGTGCTCCTGATGGGAAAGAGAGCCAAAATTACCACTGACATTTTTGTGATTTTGACTTTTTAATTGCTTGTTTGTTCCTCTGGGATGCTTGCTCAGGCATCCGTTAGATTTTTACTAGCTAAATAAAGTGGTTGTTCATGTACTCCAGATTGCATTTGTAACAAGCTTCATTTCTTATTTGTTTAAGAATTCACTTGGAGCTCTATTCTGATTTGAGTTATAAAGTAATGTTGCAAGAAACTAAAGTAATTGAACATGTAGATTCTAATATATAATTAGACTGTACAGAAGCATAAAAACTAAATGCCATACTGTCATACTAAAAGTCCACTGGTCATTTTGTACAATGTTTTATGTTTAAGAAATGGCAGAATCAAAAAGCCCAAGGGACTAAGTTAGCCAATATGGAGATGCCATATGTATAGCATTATTTTTCCCCCTTACAGAGGTCACCTACTGATTTCTAATTGCTAGAGATTAATAGAAGTTTTATAAAAAGCATAATTTCACTTTTGAATTTTTTGCCATCTATTTGATTATTTGTGATCATCTTGTAAATACATAAATCCTCAATGAATCTCACTAAATCTAACACATTGTTGAAAGGAAATCTGTCACAGTAGATCAATATTTTATATGAAAAATTGTACATATAGGTTTCTGCCTTTGAACTATATTGAATGTTGTCATGTTCTTGTATTATGAAACAAGAATGTAATTATTGCTACTTATCTATGTTTTTTCCTTGTGTTTTTCACTCATCTCTTTGCTAAAGCACATAACCCCTAACCTTTCCAAACTGCTTTTGTATGACATTTTTTCCCACAGCTTCAATATTTTAACTTTTTGAGCTCCTTCCATTTTGAAATTTTTTTCAAAATGAAGTATCCAAAAATCCCAGTAAAACTGCAATATTGACATATAGACTATTTCTGATGATACTCCAGCTCCCTATATTTATGACTAGCATTTTTGAAATGTCTATTGAAATGAGTATTTATGCCTTGCATTTTTTGAGAAGTGAGATTTGCATTTCTGTCTCTTTTACACTCTACTTTGCATTTACTAGTATCACATTTCATCTACAAAGTTTCCCATTATCCTGATTGAATATAGTTTTCTGAAGATCTTCACAGCTACTTCTGGTCCTGGTTAATCCAGCTAACCTTCTTGTACCACTTGCAGATTTATTGTCTCAGTGCTCAATTACTTTCCAGGAACAGTTCTTATATGAAACAGAACTAATATTTATTTCTCACAGTGAAAATTTTCTTCACTTCAGTCCTGTAAGTAGTTTTTTAATCCATTATATAATACTCTTTTTGTTAATTTTTTGTCACTTCTTAGACTCCTGATTCAAGACTTGTTAAAGATCCTGTGGAAGTCTACCAAAATTGTACTAATGAGATAAACTCACCTTATACACCTAAAGAATCTTAAAGAGCCTTAGCTGTGTTTTTTTTTTTTCCCCCTCTTAAACTGCTTTTCTCATAACAAAAAAAGCATTCCCAACTTTTTATATATGAGCTGATGTATGATATACATCATATATAATATATTTAGCTCCCTCTTATAAAGATCTGAACTTGGAGAAATCTGATGAGCTTCAGAGATTCTAAATTATTACAAATTTCATAGACTTAAAAGATCAAGCAGAGACAAGAGGCCTTGTTTATATCCAGCTGCAGGAGGCAATGCAGTGTAATGAGCTCATCCTTTATCACTTGTGTGGTTTCTCTGATACATAATATCTGCTGCCCATGTTCGTACCACAAGTAGTAACTCAGTTTCTCTTCTGTCAGTCTATATCTTATTTGATATTTGAAAGTCTAACTTGGTTTACATCCTGAAAACATTTCTTGAATTTATGGTATAGCACAGACATGTCAGTATAATCACACAAAAGCCATATATTCAAACAAAAAAAAATAATCACTGAAAATTAGACTTGTAGCTTTAGGAACACCAGAAACTATCCTGTTACTTGGTATGCCCAGCATTCAGATAGATAACTTCCCACCCTTTCTCACAACTTCACTTTCAATGCTTGTTGCTTTTTTTTTTATTTTTAGAAATAACGATATATGACTTACTATTTAGATACTTAGCTCAGTTTTACCATTTGCTACGCACACTTTTTGACTAACCGTGCTTTACTGGATCTTTCTTTCTGAAGCTTGTTCTTATGCCATGTTTTGATAATCTACTTACTTTTAAGGTGTTAAACTTGACTATACCATATTCACTGCTGGAGGTTTAGCTGCTATCATTTCCCAAAGTAGCTTCTGAATTACTTAACCACAAATACTACCAGAATTAGCTTTTCAAGAAAGAGAAGTTCAGAAATTGTTTCTCTAAACTTTGAGCTACTTCACTGTATTATCTGTTCCCATGGGGAATAAGACTTGTTGAAGTGCTAACCCCATGGGAACAGATGCCCATCATTATTAACATTCTGCTAGCTATTGCTATCATCTACTTCTCTAGTCCAGTCATCAACCTGACCTACTGAGTCCCATCCCTAAACTGTGTCCTTAAAGCTATATATAAACCTACCTCTTAAATATCTCCAGGCATGGTGAATCCACCACTTCCTTCTGCAGCCAGATCACCCTCAATGTAAAGAAGTTGTTCCTGATGTCCATTCTAAAGCTCTCCTTGTCTGTTTCCTTGCATCCTATCAAGGAGTTGTCACCTGAGTGGAGGACTAACACCCAAGCCTTCATAGGACCTCATTATTACGTTCTCATTTCTATGAGATTTTTGCAGTTTTTCCTGTTCACAAAATGCTGTTTTATTATATCTGATGTGGCAATTTACAAATTGTAAAATTCATTGCTTAATTATTACTACTTGAATTCAGCTTTATTCTGTAAGGTTGCTTCTCTGTAATTTATACACTCTTTAGCTCTGAATAACTTTGATCAACTCTAAAGAAAAAACCAAAACCTCTTTTCTTCAATATCCCTTTTCTCTTTGCACAATTGCAGGCCTGAAGGGAACTCAAAAGAGAAAATATTACTGCAGTGAGTAACACAGGAATAGTGACAGTAAAAAAAAAAAAGTACTAAAGTAGTTTTTTTCTGGCAAAAAAAATCTATTATTCAACATTTATGGCTATTAAGATTTTTATGTAAGTGCTTTTTCCTCCAACATTATTAACAGAGTGCATTTTTTCGAATATATTTTACATACACTGAAAGAGAAATTTATTTAAAGTATCATAGGTATCTATTAAATTTTGCCTCTGGAATTCATGAGGTTTTTTCACTTCTGATTTAAAATATATGTTGTATAGGATTCATATCTATAAAACTTAAACTGGGATGTACAGGGGAAACTGAACAGTGTGTTCAGCAGAGTAGGAAATGAAGGACTTTATTTCCCATTCCTGAATTACTTCAGAGTCTCGAGTAACCCCTGAGGAACTTTTGAAGAGGAAGTGAAGCTTGTGTATACAGCATTTCTCCCTCCAGGGGAGAGGGAAGCTCTTGAGAAACTCAGGATGCAACTGACTCCCTAGTGCTAGTTGAAGCATTGTGAAAAGAACAAAAAGATGGTAGTACAAAAAAAATAATGGAGGAACATCCAGGCACTGGGTACAAGAATCTTAGACATGAAGTACAGATTTGTACCAAATTCTCCAACTAAGAAATAAATCCTGATGTAAACAGTTCCAAAATCAAACCTTTTCAGGAGTTAAAAAACATAATGTAATGAGTGCTCTAAAAATGGTTGAGAAAATCTAGAGGAATTAATTAAAAAACATGATTTTGGAGTTTCAGAGAGTTTGAAAAAACTTTTTTGAAATATACTATAACGCAACACTTGAATTCCACAGTGATATTAATGAAAAAAATGAACTAGGTCACAGTTATCAGATTTTTTCTAGTCGCTTCCTTCAGGAGCAATTCTTTCATCCCTTTTAGCCTGCTGAGTCAGAAGCAGAGTAGAGAACATTTTTCTTACAGAAAGCACAGTTGGTTTGGTAGCTTTTTGTTGTTGTTTGTTTTTAACTACTGCTTTTAACCAGTTAACAGTGTAGTACAACACAGCCTGAAGAGTTCTAAGCTAATGCACCATTATTCTAACTTATAGGCAGAATGCATCAACAGAACATTAAGAAGAGTTTTGAACATAATTACTTAGCAGATTTTTTTCTGAACAGGACATTTTGTTTATTTTTACAAGAAATCTGGTCTTTGAGTAACATGTCAACTAGATTGTTGACTTTTTAATGTGTATATGTACTTAATACATTTGAAGTTTTTAAGTAAGTTAAATAGTTAATTGTTATAGTTTAACCTCACAAACAGCTCAGCACCATACAGCCGTTCACTCACTCACACCAAGAGGGATGAGGAAGAACGTTAGAAATAAAATAGAACTCTTGGATTGAGATAAAAGCTATTTACTAGGACAGCCAAGGAAAAAGAAAGCACGATGATAGCTGCAGTGCAATTACTTACCGTCTACTGACTGCTGCACAGCTGTTCACCAGCAACACAAGGCCTCACCCCTCAATAGCCAATGCCCAACAACATCCAAGCGGCAACTATTCATGGCCAGCTCCTCAAAGCTTTATGGCCTTCCTTATGATGTCATGTGGTATGAAGTAACCCTTTGCCTAATTCAGGACACCTGTCTTGGCTGTGCCCTACATGAGAGGCCTGGCTTGTGCTCCTATCATTTAGTAACAACCAAACCATTGTCTAAAACCAGCATATTAATTTAAGATGCTAATGTAAGACTGCAGTAGTATATGGGATGGGAAAATTTACAGGATTCTAAAGTAGTGGTAAATTAGAAATGCTTACACATTCAAATGTGATTATCTGCTGGCTATGCTAAAAAAAGAAAGCAGATATGGATGAAATCTAATGATTAAACCTGTTAGCTATTTGTTTCTTAAAGAAACAAAAAATAAAAACACCACCACAAATAACGAAACAAAAAATAACAAAACTCTTTTACTTATGATTTCCAAAAGTTGTTAATGCATAAATTAGTTGAAGAAACATCATATATGCACAAAAATAGCAGCTCTATTTCATTTTACATACACTGAATAAACTTTATGGAGAGTATAAATATTTCAGTAGCTACTGCTAGCATCAGAGTTTTGCTGATTTGTTTTGTCTGTTTTGTTTTACAGTTTGGTAAACATTTGCTGCTATTGGATATAATAATGGTAGGCATTTTTCTGAAACACATAGCACATAGCAATGAGAATTTCTAACTTGATGTAACCCATCAATTACATTAGTGGAAGAAGAAATCATATTGGACACTGGAAGGTTATAACCATTTCCCTCATTAAACACTAACAAGCTGATTTTCAGACTCCTAATTTCATTATGTTGCTTATATTGTTTCCCAGCCCATTAACTATAATCCTAATAATCACATATCTACTTATGGCAGTCTGTCTTTCTTAATTCACCTACCAATACTCTATGCATTCCCCTACTATCTGCAGCTTTTCTTACTTTGTCAAACCTGTCAGCCCCATGTGGAACAGAGAATTATAAGAAAGTAGCAGTGTTGCACAGAGAAAGCTAAGTAATATTAGGCAAACAAGAATGAGTTCTGAATTTAGATCAGTACATTTAGGATTCTGTAAATTTCCAGGACTGATGAAAAATTCTGGCTGTAAAACTGTGCATGAAATGGTCAGTGAAGGGGAATTAGACTGATCATATACATGAAAATCCTATGAAAATGTCAAGATGAGAGTATTTGAAAAGTGCAAAAGAAAATATTTGGGAACTGTTCTAACTGAAGAATGGGGGATTAAATATAGAAGATGATGGGTGACTTCTCTGATCAAAATCTGAGAAGACCAAATGTGGATATGAGTGTCATCACCATTATTAATATGGTTACTGACCATATTTGTCTGTTAAAATGTTTCCTTTCTGAATATAAATGTATTTAGTAAATGACAGAGTGATGAAAAGCATTAAAAAAGAAAAAGAGGAATTCCACATGATAAAATAACTTGTTATCCTCTGAAAGTCAAAGGGCAGATGGAAATTTAATTGGAAGAAAATGGAAGCTTAGAGGTGTACTACAAAGACAAGAAAAAGCTTATAGAGGCGTTGATCTTAGTTATCAGGAACAAATATTTTGTCTTTGATAAAGAGACAGGTGATAGATTGCAGTGGACCATCAATAGCAACATACCACTAACAAACTGAAAAAATGAAAAAAGAGTTAAGTGATAGGGTAAACAAGAGCTGTGTTCTGAGAGAATGGGACCATATAACTGTACTGTAAAGAAAGAGACTGGATGTCATGGTACCTTCTGGTTACTGGAGTTACAGTTACAGGTGCCCCTTTGTAGTATAGGAAATCTACCTAATAGTCCAAGAAGGAATAGGAAGAGCAAACTTAGCTTTCCTTGAAGACAGTGTTGAAATATCTTAGGCCTTTTCAGCACTGAGCAGAAGTATATGAAGTGGAGGAGAACTACTAAAGATTACATGTCATAAGTGCCATGATGTGAAAAAGAAAGTGACTGAGACTCTTTGCAATACTGAAGAATTACAGAGAATGTGAAAGAGGTGATTTCTAAACCAGAAATGAAATGCTCATATGTAGTTTCAAAGTGCAGGAAATTGGCATCAAATGCACTTTAAGTAGGTTAGGGGCGGGGGGAAGAAATGAATAGAACTTCTTAATTAATGCATGTACTAATTCATGATGATAATTTGTTGTGAAATACAAGTAGTGAGCCTTCGAAGCATGTTAGCATGTTCACATAAATACAAGAACAAGAATGCATATAATATGTCAGAGATCATTTCCCAGTGGTTCTGGTAGAATTGTTAAAACCTTCTCTTGCTCAAAGGAAAGAGCTTGGCAGACTTCTAATATGACAACATCTAATACCTGCAATATCAGAATTTACAGCATTATCACATTACTTTTTTATTAGATTGGAAGATGATAGTTGATATTCCATATCACATTATTTTTTTATTGGATTGGATGATGATAATTGACATTCCACAAATAAAGGCACATGTCACGTAGAAATTAGCTAAGGAACAGTTGGAGTCTTCTCATGGTAGGAGAAGAATTGAAGTAAATATTTTTAAGACCATCCCAGAATGAGACCAAAGTCAGAGAATATTGCACTTACTTAACTCTTGAAGTGTTTACTGTGCAAAACAGAGCACTAAAATAACTGATGATGGATGTTTTGAAGTTCTAATTTTATGATAAACTGTTATGATAAACTGTTACTCAACATATTTTTTTCTTGAAACAAGCCATCTCTTATTCATTTATTTTGATAAATTAATCTGTGATCCTATTGTGATAGTTGTGATGTAGCTTTCTTGCATCTACCTGTTCAAATGTTCACCCAGTAGCTGAGATTACAGGGCTTCCTCCATCCCACTCACATATAACAGCTAACTGAAAATTTGGAATGGTAAAATGAAAAATTTCTCTATTTTCCTTTATAGAGTATTATCTGCAAGCATTTGAAGAAGCACATTGGATGTCCACTCATTTACCTATGCATTGAAAATGAATATTAAAAAAAACAGCATATCAGCTTCTCACAAAGCATGGCAAGACCATATTCCAATGATCAAATCAAGCCTGAAGATCAGATTGTGGAGGAGCATATATACACAATTAAAATGTTCAGATGATACAGCCTCTGCAAAAAGAAGATTGAAGTTGTAAAAGGCACTGAGATGGTTGTGCTTTTCAACTATGACTTTAAAAAGGTTTGCCTCTAAGAAATAAATATACGGAGATGAGCTGACTCTGAGAAACAATGAAATTTCTTTCAAAGTTTTTTCTCTATTTGTATAATGACTAATTATAATGCTCAACAGCAAAGTTACATTTTTTTCCTTTAAAACTGATCTCTCACTCAGTTTTCTCTTCTGATTCCTTTTGTTGTAGTCTATGTATTTTTTGTGAGCAGCGGCTGTTCTATTTGTTTGTTTATGCCTTGTACAACATATGTCTTTCTCAGGATGAATTTGGGAAGCATAAAGGCTTCCATTTGTCATGTCCTGGTTGCTACATTCAGTGTCAAATAAAAAGTTCTAGATGAAGGGAGAAGAGATTGAACCCCTTGTGGGAGCAGATAGAAATATTCAGGGGACAGAGAGAAAGATAGGGTAGGCAGGTGAGGTATCTCCGAAGAGCACTTGAGTTTGGAAGACTGCTATGCAGTTACTCCTCTAAGGCAACAGAAAGACTGTGCAGGGTTATTTTGTTATAGTCAAAGAAGGTAGTAAACTTGCCTGACAAAAGCAAGCTTAAATTAAAAGTGCTGGTCCACAAGGAGGTATCTGGCACAAGGAGAAAGATTTGTTTCCAAGTTCCCCCTCTTTTTCCCATGTTTTTGTTGTTGTTTGTTTGTCTGTTTGTTTGTCTTGGCTCTTCTGAAAAGAGTTTTTCATTCTAGTTAAAGTTCTAGTAAAAACAAGAAACTATTTGGTGTTGCTGGAAAGTTCACACAAAAGATATAAAAAGGAGAGCTTGAAAGCTCTGGCTATTTTGTGTGCAAGCACCTCAATGTTTATTCACTTTCTAGTTAACACCTTTGAAAAGAGAAGTTATTCTTCACTGAATAAATCTCTATATTGAACTTCTTATCTCTGTATCTCACTTTTAACAGCTCCAACTCATTTGAAGAACCATCCTGGGACAACGACAGATAAAGTTTCCAAGATGTCAATGCCTGGAGGCATCATACCTGTATAATGTAAGACAGTTCTCTCGCTCCATTTTTCCTGACATATCCCTTAGATGCAATTATTCCGTTGAATGGCGACGTTTGTGCTGAGGGAGAGTTCTTTTCTGGGCCAGCAAAACTCTAACATACAAACATAAAATCCTTTCTGGATGAGTTGCAGTGCTGTCAGTGCACACGATTCTCTCTTTTTTTCCCTTAGGTACTGCAGACTCTACAGGATGGAAGTCAGATGACGTGCAACAATAATGCTCGAACCAAAGCCCACAGGGTACCTGCATTTGTTAATACTTAAGCAATAAAACATACACTTAAAGCAATAGCTTTTGTTAGATTCAATAATTAGCTGAGATGAAGATTGCAACTACTCTGCAGCACTCCTCCCTTACTGTGATTGATGAGGCAAAAAACAATGTGTCTTTAGAGCACAGCTTAATATTTGAGTGACCTAATATTCCAGAATTCAGCTAGATATAATTTTATTTTCTACGTTGAAGAAATGAACAATATTTTTTAATTAAATGCATCTTGGATTAAGTTTCATGCTCTTTGCACAAATATATTCAATCTGTCCTGTGCGATAGTTAGTATACATGGACAAAGGCTACTTTTTGTTTACATTTTATAGTATATTTTGGCAATGAGTAAACAGTGCAATGAATCAAATTAATGAAGGGGAAACACTTATTGTTCTGTGCTCTCGCTGTAGAAATTTGGCTCCACTAAACTGCTGTATTAAGAAAGGATTCAATTAATTCAGTCAAAGTATTTTTCACTAACAGCTGTATGCTGGTACTGAACACACACATTACAGTTTTAACTGTTTAA